AATTAGGGAACTTATTGTTGCATATAACTCATTCCCTCTCAATCCCTCGTCCCTGTCAATCTCGCGCCCTCTCTCTCTCAATATCGAGCATCGACACCAGCACTAACAAATCTCCAGTCAATGGTCAGGTTGGCAATTACACCCTAAGCAAGATTACACGCTGTTTAATTGCCCAGATTTTTCCCCTCGTTTTGCATTTGGTTCTGTGACTTTTGCTTTAGGTATGTGTGCTGAATTTTTTTTGCTGGGTCTTATAATTATGCAGATTGAGGTGGTTGTAATCTTTCTTTCCCTCTTTATAATTCCAATCTTTTACTAATTTTTCACCTTCTGATTGCTGAGTTTGATTTTCACACCGCCAGAATCTGCACTATAGAGACACGACAGTGTGTGGTTACTGGTTAGTTGCAAATTGAATATATATGGTTCTTGATAAGTTTATAGGGTTCTTGAGGTGAGGGTTATGAGAACTTAAGTAATAAGTCTCAATATCAAATTCCACACTAAATGTTGAGAATAGGGATAGGGGTTTCCAGAAAAAGTTCAATACCATGGAATGTTGCTACTGTGACAAGACTGGCCACATGAAGAATAATTATAGAGCACCAAAGAAGATGGAAGAAAAGAATAACAATAGTGCTAATGCGGTGACTAAAGAGGTCCAAAATGCTTTACTCTTGTTGGTTGATATTCTTATTGATTTTTGGGTAATGGATTTAGGAGCTTCTTTTTACACCACTATATATCCTTAAATTTTGGAGAACTATGTTACTGGGAATTATGGAAATGCATATATTGCTGATGGAGAACATATGGATATTGTTGGTATTGATGATGTCAGTTTGAGGATGTGTGATCTGATTTCAGTTTGACAACTGATAATTAAGGTCATAACGTCACTTTGTTGCCTGTTTTCGGAGAGTTACTAACGAAACCATGGTTATTGCTTGAGTAAATAAATTTGGAACTCTTTACATCACTTCAAATTAAAAAGAAATGGTTGCAATTCAGCCATTAGTTTTGATTTGTAACACTGTAGGCTAGGGCACATAATTGAGAACAAAATAAACATGCTTCACTCTAAATGGAAGCTATTTGAGTTGAAACCTATTGAAACACTTTATGTGAATGTTATGTTTATTGCAAGGAAAAAAAATGTTTAGTTCCTCTAAAATCAAAAGGGGTCCAAAATCTACAAAATTAAAGTTGATTCATGCGGATATGTAGGGGATCTTCAACTATTACTTTCTTTGGAGGTTCCAATTATTATGTGACATTTATTGATAACTTAAGTAAGAAGGTATAAGATTATTTTGTAATGAATAAATCTGATGTCTTTAATTCATTCAAGAGATGGAAATCCATGGTGGAAGATGAAACAACTTTGAAGGTGAAGTGTTTGAAGTCAAGTAAGTTATAATAGTGGAGAGTATTTAGATCATGATTTCAAGAAGTATTGTGCTAACAACATAATCAAAATGAAAACAATTTCAAGAGGATCGCAACAAAATGATATGCCTGACTGGATGAATAATATGCTAAAAATGAGCATGCTAGAAATATGAGATTACATGCTGGATTACCAAAATTATTATTTTCATATTCATAGTGGCCGGTGTACATTGTAGCATTTTGTTAAACTCGAGAAATGCAATATGATTTGCATAGTCAAAAACCATTTGAGACTGTTGAGAATTTTTAGATTTTATTAAAAATTGATAAAATATGTGATTAAGAAATTGTGGGTCTCATGATATAAAATATGTTTTTAAAAAATGAATTTTTAAAAATAGGGTTAAGTATTTTCTGTTCATTATTCTTGATAAATGCTCATTTCCAAGCCCAGCAGACTTTACACTTTAACCATAGAAGATTCAGTCCTCCATGCAAGGCAGTCTCAATAGGCTCGAATGAGGGCCCAAAAAAATAAAATAAAAGAGAAGCTGTAACATTGAATGCAATATGCCAAAAATTAATTGAATAATAGTTGAGTTGATTGTAAGTATGCCCTCATGAGTTTCTCTATGAGTTCGTATTCTAGATTCGGTATTGCACTAGGGAAATCTTTGAAATTCCCCTGTCCTTCCTTGAATATTTCTCTTGTCCTTATTCTTAACCAAGTTTTCAATTAATTTCTCAACAGATTACAGGAGCGTTGAAGGAGGCTCTAACTGTTCCAATTTCACCTATTTTAATTCAGGTTTCCATTATTTTTTTGTAATTACAGTTTGTGTGAAAATTCATTGTCAAAATGACTTACCTAATTGAAATCTGATTTCTATGATGTCCTAATATAATCATTTTTCACTTCATTTTTAATGTGTTTTAACAGATTATAAATTAATATGTGTTGGTATATCTTATCATGGATAAAGATTGGGTACACTTATCAAGGTGATCTTGTCCTGTTAAATTTAAAATATTATGAAATATGCCCATAAATGCTTTTTAGTTTATTTATTTAGCATACTTTGTATAGAGTTTTAGAAGCATATCAACATGGTGCGAGAAACTTTGCAAATATGGTTCAAACCAATGCTGGGAATCCAAAAAAGGTCATATGCCCTTACAAATGTTGCAAAAACCTATTTCACCAACATTTTGATATAATGTATGGACATTTATTCATTAATGACATGGATCCTACATATACTACCTGGGTGGTTCATGGGGAAAAACCGAATGCAGCATCATCGCCTCCTCAAGATGTAGAAAATTTATAGACGTATAGGATGTATAGAGATGCATTTTTTTAGGATCACAATAATGTAGAATCCGAAAATGAAGATAGAGAGAAAGAATTTTCAAATTTATATGATGACGTCGAAATTCCTTTATATCCTGGTTGCACGAAGTAGACAAGGATATCTGTAATTGTTGTCTTGTATAAGCTTAAAGCTACTCATGGTATATCTGACAATGGTTTTAATGAACTTCTTGATATTATCCGAGATATACTACCACATGGGAACACCCTTCCTGATTCTTGCAATTCAACGAAAAGGTTATTGAACACCTTTGATTTAGGCTATGAGAAGATACATGCATGTGTAAATGATTGTTGCTTGTTTAGAAAGGATTTAGTGAATATGGATACATGTCCAAAATGTGGATCTTCGCGGTGGAAAGTTAATGAACAGACTAAGAAGATTCAAAAAGGGATACCTGCAAAGGTTTTGTGATATTTTCCAATTATACCACGATTTAGAAGAATGTTTAGGTCACTCAATAAGGCAGAACAACTGATATGGCACTCAAATCACTAAAGTCAAGATGGAAAAATACGTCATCCAGTTGATTCATTAGCTTGGGAGAGAATTGATCAAAAATGGATTACACGTCGGCCTAGATGTGATGTAATGTCACATTCTGGTTATGTTATCAATGGACATCGATTTCATACAACCGATGTTAGTAGAAATACATAGAACAGTGGTGTTTCTATTGAAGCCCAAACTATTTGTCGGTCTAGTGTGAAGGATACAAGCCACGTAGTTGGTAAAATATCTTATTACATAGTTATAAGAGACATAATTTTGCTAGATTATCACAGTTTAAAGTTCGCATGTTTCATTGTGATTGGTCAAATATTGATAGTGGAATCAAGATTGAAGAAGGATTTACAATGGTAAATCTTCATAGAGGACAATATCACTTTGAAAGAGATCCATTTATTTTAGCATCACAAGCAAAACAAGTTTTTTATTCTAGAGAAAGTGATACATCTAGTTGGTATATTGTATTAAAGGCACCTCCTAGAGGATTTCATGAGTTAGAAAATTTTGATGAGGAGGCTTATACTCCATCCACATTAGATGCATTAAGTGTTGATATGACTGTTGAAGATGGCGATTATGTGAGACATGATTGTGAGGGCATTGATATTGAATATGGTAATTGTATATCTTTAAGTCTTTCTTGCTTTATTTTAATTTTATATTGATATGATATTATATTGAGGTTAATGTCTTTAATGTCTCTAATTCCATTATTTCTTGCTTTATTTTTGTAGATGCAAATGATAAAAGCTGAGTTTTGTGGATGCTGATGTTCACACGATTGGAAATAAGATGACATATCCTGGTGAAGTAAATTCTTGGATTGTATGTATATTATTTTTTAATTTTTTAATGTTAAGTTTAATTAAAATATTACTCGTTTTTTCTTTTTTTTAGTTTAATACAGTCATCTAATCAAGGCTATAAGAAATCAAAAAGAGCTAAAAAAAGCTTCAATTGTTGCTGCCACAAGAGAAGGGAAAGAAGGATAAGACTATCAGAAGGAGGTTCTAATTCTATTCTAGATGTACGTGAAAATGACGTGGTAGAAGGGTTGCCTAATAGTGCTAGTACTACTGAAAACAAAAAGAAGGGAAGGGGTCGAGCAAAATTGAATTATCTAAACAATGGAAAATGTGCGAAGTTACCAATAGAGTTTAATGAAAGAGGACAGCCAATTTGTAAGGGCTCAAATAAGTTGTCATCATTTATTGGGACCACAACTAGAGAACTTATACCAATTACATGGAAAAATTGGAAAGATATCAGTAAAGAATTTCTTGATGACATATTGGAGCATGTGCAGGTAATATAAATGTCACATCTTTTATATAATTTAAATGAAATTACTATTAATATTGTGTACTTTGATGCAGCAAAAATTTGATGTCGATCTTTGTCATAGAAAATACATCATGCAAAAAATGGGAAAAAATTGGCGAGATCATCGATGTAATTTGCTTAAAGCAATCAATAACAAAGGAAAAACAATTGGCTTGACACGAGCTGCTGCTCTCCTCAAGCCTGATAATGTTGAATCAATGGAAGAATGGCAAGCATTTGTCAAAGAACGCAATTCTCAACCATATAAGGTAAGCTTTCATTGATTTTGTATATTGATTGTGCTTTGCAACATACTGCTTACTGCATCTGTTATATATTTGCCACAACATTTATGTCTATTACAGCATGCATAAATGATGTTGTAGGAAAAGAAAAAGATTCAAAAAGATGAGAGCAAGTCAAACCATGTTGCATACAACAAGTAGAAAGGGTTTTGCTCGCTTAGAAGCTGAAATGGTAAAAAATTGTTAAATTAAAGTTAAATTTGTTTTGAAATTATAAATGTTATACAAACTACCACACATGAAATGTAAAATACAGCGTGCTGAAAGTGAAGATCCTGATTCGATAACAAGAGATGATGTTTATATTCGAGGACATACGTGAAAAAATGGTGAACCTATTAATGAATCAGTTGGGGAAACATTGGTAACATTATTGCTTTTAGTAATTTTTTTTTTATCACTTAAAGCTTATATTACGTAATTTTAGCTCATTAATGTATTTCCTCATATCAGAATAAAATAAAAGTATATTCAGAGATGGTTTCCTCTCCAAGCAAACACTCACTTAAAGGTGATGGTGTTGCAAAAGTACTTGGTCCAGAACGTCCAGGACGGGTAAGAGGTCTTGGTTTCTGTGCGACTCCTTCAAAGTTGAATGCTTTGGTGCACAATCATAACTTGCAAACTCAAGTTCAAGAGTTGAGGGATGAAATTAAAGAATTAAGAGCTCTGTTTCAAGTGAAGAGTAAAAGTACTGAACAAGAAGATAATGTAAGTGGAAATCTAGAATCAATGAATGTTATTTTAAATTACATATTTTGTCTATATTCAAAATAATAAATTGTACAACTTGATATTAATTTTACAGTCTAGAGGCAGAAGCTTGAATGGTTTAGATAACCTTCAAAATAAGAAGTGCAAATTGTTATCTTGGTTTGGGAAAGCTGATATTGTTGCAAAAGGTGAAATTGCATCAACAAATCCAAATGATCTAGTGCATCATGTACCCCTTGGTAATGAATGTTAGAGAGTTTGGGTTAATGAAGTGATCAATAATGTTAGCTTATATCATCCCACGCGTGAGCTTTTTCTTCTGGAAGATGCATTAGGAAGTACAATTGCATGGCCAAGTAGGTATATCGAAGTGGATTCGCTGTAATCACAACGAAGGTATGCTTAACTTCTTTTCTATTTTAATTCTATTTACCTTTATGTTCGGTCTCTATTGAAGATTTTGCTGTTTAATATATTTTTGATTTGGATGCTTATTAATTATATCCTTATTATTTTCGTGGTGTGCAGGGGATCTATATTTCGTGCGGTAGCTAAATTGTCGGTCAAAGAAGTGAACTTTGATAGGTTTAATAATTTTTTGTTATATGACGGAACCTCAAAATCCAAGGGCTTATTAGTTGAATGGCGATTGGCACATACAATAGTAGTCGAATATTTTTGAGAATTGTTTAGATGAATTTTAAATTGGCATATTTTATTGAACCGTAGTCAATATTTCTTTTTATCGAAACAATGGAAAACTTGATTATATATGGAGTAATTTTATTTTGTTAATATTACAGGTTTGCTGGTATTAAAATAAATAAATGATTTTTAAAAAAATTGAATCGTCATTTACGGCATGTATAGGCATGCCGTGACGCCATGAGTATAACACTTTAAATGGCGTAAAACTGCACGCCGTAAAAAGTGAATGGTCATTTACGGCGTGTTTAGGCATGCCATGACGCCATGAGTATAACACTTTATATGGCGTAAAACTGCACGCCGTAAAAGGTGAATAGGCATTTACGGCGTGTTTAGGCATGTCGTGATGCTATGAATTTAACACTTTATACGGCGTACAACTACGAGCCGTAAAAGGTGAATGATCATTTACGCCGCATTTAGGCATGCTTTATACAGCGTACAACTACATGCCGTAAAAAGTGTGATGCTTTTCACGACGTCCATTTACAGCGCACTATGCACGTCGTAAAAAAAGACCACTTTTTACGGCATTGCTTTATACCGCATATTGTTGGATGCCGTAAAGTATTATTTATAGCATATAATGCACGCCGTAAAAACTAAACTTTGTTGTAGTGTTATTTACGTTGAAAGAGATTTTTTTCCTCCTAAATTTATAGGTGTTTTATATACATGGATTTGAAAGAAAATTATTTGAATTCTAATGATGAAGCAATCTTGGACATAATCATTTTATTGAAGAAATTTATGGCATGATCATCCATTTAAGCAAGTGGTGTTGTTCAGGGAGGAAACTCTTGGTGGTTTAAAAAGGCTTGGAAATGGGTGCTAAAATGGGCAAAGGTATAAAAGGTGGGCATGATTCATGCATTTCAAAATTTGAAATTTCAAGAATTTCCCATCTTTACGTCTCCAATTTTGAGGTCATTACGGGATGACATATGAAGCCAAAACATTACATTACTAATACCATTACGAAGTACTCATGGCCTAGTTTCTCGTGTCATTAACGGCATGTAAAATAGTAAACAGTAGCAAAAAGTTACGAGCATCAAAATACGCTGTTTCAGTTAGTATTTCGAAAATTTTGATAACATTCTAACTTTAAAAATTCATCGATAATTATGTAGTAGTTGAATCAACAATTTGCCTACATCATCTCGAAACTCATTTCGAGAACTACATCATGGACATATCGAATGATCCAAATGGGCATAAAAAATCACTAAATGTGCGTTAAACATATGTCTCTAAAAAAAAAACGTTTGACTCAAAAAATTCAATTATTTATTACTTGCACGTTACCAATTTTCCAATTACATTACATTATATTATATTTATTATTATTATTATCACTATTTATTATTATTATTATTATTATTATTATTTTATATATGGCGTATGGTGTTTGTTCTCTCTTCGTTCGTTTGTTTGTATTTTTTTTTTTGGGTGGTTACAAAGATATTCTCTAGTGTTTAAGCATTTGATTTGATAAGTTCTGCTATAGATAATCTTATTTGCAAATGTGGATGAGTTGAGGTGGTTGACTCAATGTTGACATTTTTAGTTGCTCACATTTTTTTAGATGAGTAGTAAGCTCAAACTAGTCTTTTTCAATAGTTGAGAACTATGAAGGTCAATGTGCCTTACTAATTGAAGCGTCAATTTTCTTTATTGACATTACCGGTTGTGTTGAGGCCTTGATGTTGCTAATTCTCAAGAACATGCTTGTGTAGCAATGTTCTAGTTCGTATAAATGAGTTATGGTAAGAATACTGACATTGGTCTATCGCTCGAGCTTTAGTGACACGTCAACGATCAGAATTCTATTTTGCTTCAAACAGTTTGTTTTTCAATTCCTTTTCATCCCAATCTCTTTTCCCTATATATATCCTACTCTATGAACGTCCAAAAGCGTGGTTGTTCATTTTGTTGCCTCTCCATATCATTTTTGAAGCTCCAAGAGCACATTTAAACATTGATTTCAATCATTTGGTTCTTAAGATTATATACCACATATTTGGGAAAACATCAAATCCTTGAATCCAAACACATATGACTTCCTTAAAACCATATGGAAGGTACTCTTTTAGTGGGGAATTGGGAGAGGTAGATTGCAAGCACAGGCAAAGCACAGGAATTGATGATTCTTGGAATTCCACTTGTAAGGGACAATTCTACAAGATCAAATAGCTGGAGGAGATAGCAGTATCTTGTAAATTACAGAAAGTAGATCAAGAATTCTAGTATAGTTAGCTAGACAACATTTAATCGTAACAATCGTTGTCTATAGTGAAGGTAACTAGATTGGTCTCGAGGTTTTCGCCCAATTGGGGTTTCTTCGTCAACATATCTAGTATTATTTACTGCTGTCATACTACAAACTGTGGCGTTCAAACATAGGATAACTGGACTTGTATGCTTAATCATCTAGAAACAACTAATAAGTGACTTGTTGCTTTTAATCATAAATTTCGTACGTAAAGTCAAAGTAATAAATAATCTAGAACGCATAAATTTTATAATTAAAAGCGTTCTGGGAATTTCATAAGCAGTATTGGAGTGTTGTAGAGCAATTCTACAAGTGGTATCAATGCCTAAATATGTGTCCTAACCTTATTTGTCTAGATAAGTGGTTCATTGTCCGTCTCGCCATACGTCAGTGGTGCTAACTATGCCAATTGGAAAGTTAGGATGAGAGTGTTACTAAAATCAATAGTTGAACGGATTTGGATGAGTGAGGTGAATGGTTGGAGTGCACTTAGTACAACTGTAAACAACGTAGCAATCCCTACTCCATTGCTAATTGATCTAAAACTAATTTAGTTGAATGTAATAGGAACAGCAAAGGCTTACATGCTTTATTTATGGTTGTATCCTCGAAAGATTTAGAAGAGCATCAACGTGTAAGGTAGCTAAAGAAGTTTGAGATATTTTACAGATCACACGTGAGAGAACACAGGCATTGAAAAACTCTAAGTTACAGATTTTGACCACTAGGTTTGAAGAGATCAATGTGAAATAGGATGAGATTTTTGATGAATTCTATGCGAGCTTAAATAACATAGTCAATTCTAGCTTCAACCTAGGTGAGAAAATCCTTGAGCTTGAATTAATTAGAAAAATCCTTAAATCCTTACCTGAGCGATTTAGACCTAAAGTTACAACAATAAAGGAAAGTAATAATATAGATTCTATTAAGGTGAAAGCATTGGTTGGATCACTCTAAATTATGCGCTAACTTTAGATAAACCGATAAAAGATAAGCCCATGGCTTAAAAAACTGCTAGGATTACAGTGATGGGTCCTCTGAGTTAGATTCACCTAATGAGGAGGAGTTAACATATTTCACTAAGAAATTCCAAAAAATGTTTAGGAATAAAAAGAAGTCTTAAGATAGACACAGAGGTACCCTGAGTGAATCTAGAAGAAGATCAAGAGGAGTGAGATGACATAATTGTCAAGGTTTTGATCATGTTAGGAGTGAATGCCCCAGTAGTAGGAGAATCAGGATAAGGCTATGAATACTACTCTTATTGATAAACAAGTCTAGTTCAAATAATTAGAGTAAGAGATCCATTCATGAGGAGAATAAGAAATACAATGCCTTCACTGCTAGGATTAGGAGAGGATCTAACCAGGAAAGTGAGAAAGTTGAAGGTGTAGATAGTGATGAGAAATTGGATTCTAAAAGTGAGCAAAATATACATGAGGCATATGATAAAATAGATGAGTAGTGTATTTTTTATTATGCTTGAGAGTAAAAGCTTGTAAGCTAAGGTCAAGGAACTTGAGCTTAAGAGAGAAACATATGCAGACGACCTTTAGGAATCTACCTCAACCTTGAGTAAATTGAAATCGATGAATGGATCTTTAGATACGCAACTTAAAAATCTTACAAGTGGGCTTGCAAAGCGTCTAAGAGAGCTAGTGAGCTGAGTGCTGAGAATGAGATGTTAGAAATCCAAGTTAAGAACCTTCTGAGCGAACTAGAGTATCCAAGTCTCAATACCTTTCCTGTTCTAGAGGTTCCGAAAAGCTAGATAACATCTTAAGAATGAGCAAGACAACTAGTAATAGGGGAGGTTTAAGTTTTAAAGAGGTTACCATTAGTACTTCAAAGACCACTTTTCTCCATGCCACTGACCAGCTAAAAATGTGTCTAACCCAGAACATAAGAATAACATATCTATAGTATAGAGGTTTACTTGACAGTATAGGACTTCTCGACCTAGGAATAGATGTTAGCGATCACTCAACATTAGTCCTAGGTTTATCCCCATATACTTTCATTGTGGTTAGTTAGGACACATAAGGTCTAGGTGTCATCAGTCCTTGAATAGAAATAGAATCTTAAACCGCAATTGAAATAAAAATCTGGAGTTTGTTGGACTGATTGACTTCCTTAGTGATTGAATGAGTCAATTGACCAAATTAATGACACAAATGACTAGGAACATCCCTGTCACTAGGCATATTTGGGTGAAAAGAGTGATCTAAAAAAATTATAAAATAAATCTCGATGTTCTTAAACGTAAGAGCATTTTGCTACCAAACTGATTAGATAATTTTGGTGCATGCCTTACTTATCACCATGTGTCATTAATGCCTTACTTATCACCATGTGTCATTAATCTATGTAGGCATCTCATTTATTTTCTTTTTCTTTTTAGGAGTTGTTTCACGCATGTGTATCTTTTTTGTGTTTGCATTGGCACATCCACATTTCTTTTGTGTGTG